GATGAAATCAGAGTACCAGGAGAGAACCCAAGCATGCTCAGGGAGAACATGCAATCTCCATGCAGAAGGCCCGGGCAGATAATCAAACCTGGAACCTTCTTGCTAGAATTTAGATCACCGTGCGGAAAATATTTAATGTATGCTTTAAAAAATTAGACTAGTTTTTTAATGCTTTTGTTTTTGGTTTGGTCACATATTGGGATAGCTAGCACCCGTTAGAATGCCAGCTCCCTGGCATTGATGTGGATAGTGTTTTGTAACTTATGTCGCAGTAACTGATCAAGCAGTGCTTGATTTTCTGTATGCCTTCATTAGGTTTAACGGTGCAGCCAGAACACACAGCTGTGCAGCTAGCCCACCCACACAGAGCATATGCTTTACAAGTAATTGTGCAACTTAGCCTGTGATGGAAAACGATCAGTATTGGGAGTTAAAGTTTTCTGATTTTCTGACCAGAATTTAACCAGGATTTATATTCTGACCATTGATGTAGGAGAGACAATAATAATAGGCTTAAATAAAAACAACTCATCTCCTCCTTTTCATTGGCCTTTGGAAACATGAGTTTGCTTTCGGGTCAGTGATCCGCTTGCCCTACCCAAATGGGTCCAGAATAGTCCCAGAATGGTCTCAGATGACTCCAACATGTTTGTTTGACTGTGACTGAGGTTAGGTCAGGTTACCTCCCACACTTGCAGCCTCCTCTCCCTCCAGCAGATTTTTGTGTCGACTCTCCCTGCTGACTCACCACAACCAGTGCGGACTGAAGCAAACTTTCCCCAAAGGGGAATCAGAGGGACGGATTAGACAGAAAATCCTGTTTCCTGTCCCCAGCTCTAATAATAATCTTATAGTTTTTTTTTTATACATGTTCCTGCTTCTTTAAGATCAATCATTCCCTCCATTATTATCCAACACTGGAAAAAATCAAAATCTAGATAAATCATTTTTTCTTATTGAATATTTTCTTGAATTCAGGAGGTAAAACAGACATTTTGCTAATGGACCAAGATAATTTGCACTTAAAGGGGAACGCCGTTTTTTTTACATTTGGCCCTTGATTTTACGTTATTACATCATGTTCTACTCACCCCTATAAGTCTTGTGTCATTTGGAGCCGTTCTAAAAATATTCGGTTAGGTTATATCTAAGTAATGTCTTCCTATGGGCAACGACTTGAAGGCGCAAACTTAACTGTTCATAATTTATTCTTTATGGTACGTCAGCATTCATAACGAACAAATGAAGTGAATCCATGTCCCCCAGACATCCGCAATTATATTTTTTATATTTATATCTATCTATATTTATATCGCGTGTATGACGTCATCTGCACGCCAGCTACCGTTCATTCTTCCTGTCCGCTGAACTGCTGCTAGTTTTACTCACATGCCTGGAAGATGTCTAGTGCTACTACCACAGATGATCTCGCTCTCGAAATGGAATTGAATGATTCAGATTAGCTAGCTGAATGAATAGAAGGGGTAGAGCATAGCCGTTTGTGGCCCAGGCTGCCAGTTACGACTCCAGTGCGCATGCGCGGATGTCAGACACACGCCGCTTTGTTTTTAAAAGATATAAACATAAAAAATATAACGGCTGATGTCTTGGGGACAGTGATTCGCCTACATGTTATGAATGCTGGCGTACCATAAAGAATAAATTATGAACAGTTCAGTTTTTTGCCTTCAAGTCGTTGCCCATAGGAAGATGTTACACTAACTCATATGGGTGAGTAGAACATGATGTAATAACTAGGCATGCATGATATAATCGGCCCCCTATCAGTATCGGCCTGTATCGGCCTTAAAACTGAATATCGGACATCGGCCACCCCACTGATATTTAACCCGATATTTGATCAGCTTCTGAGTTTCTAAAGTCTAAAAAAAAAAAAAAAAAAAATACTACTACTTCTTCCTCAAAAACGTCTTTTTTAATCATATGCTGATATATTGCCATTTAAAAACACCATATCAATCTCTTTTACTAATGAAATATTGCTATATGTCATCGTTATGCTACAAAATCCCAAAAAAATTCACGAAATTTTGCCATATTTTTATATGTTGATATATTGACGCGGTATCGATCTATTTTACTAACAAAATCTCACAAGAAGTGGCAAAATATCACGAGTTTGTAACAGAACGATGAAATTTCATGAGATTTTGAAAGTAAAATAGATCGATACCGCGTTTTTAAAAATCTATTTGATATCAGCATATGAAAATATATTTGAGTATATTATTTTTCAAAGTGTCAGAAATGGATAACAAAACTGCTATTTTCAATGACTACTTATTTTTGTCCAGCTTTAACAGCTACATGAGTTTTAAAATATCGGCATATCGGATATCGGCCAAAATCCCAATATCGTGCATCCCTAGTACTAACGTAAAATCAAGAGGCCAATGAAAAAACAACGGCGTTCTCCTTTAAAGTCATAGGGAAGTCATACTTAAATGTCAAATAATTCTGGCTTAAACATGTATATAAATGTACTCTTTGTCAGACGTCTTAAAATCTGTGGGGTTCTTTTCGTTATCTTATGCAGGTCAGTTAGTTATACGTAAGCTTGCACACCTAAGTTCGGCCAATCATATACCAATGCTCATCTCTCAATAAAATTATTTCAGTCATAGCATCTTGATTCATGTGGCGCAACGGTTTCAACGCAACGGTTGAAATAAGAAATAAGAATCATTTAGCATTCCTTGACAGTGTCGTTGCTAAGTGTTACTTGGTCGCAATGTAATTTGCCATTGGGAACCTACTAGAACTAAGTTACTAACTGGTTAGCAATATGCATCCGACAAACCGGCCACAACCAAATTTGCTTGCTAACCTTCCGCCACAACAATCCTGCCCCCTTGATAATCGAACAATCACATTCACTTTATTCACTCGTGTAAAGTCGGGCACCACCCGGGAGAATTCAGAAACTCAACAGTTGGAACAGCCGCTTCCCTACGACTTTAAAATAAAGAAACGCAGTTATATTGTCTTATTTCAATTGCATGATATCTAATTATCTTTTTTTAATACCGTATTTTCACGACTATAAGGCGCACTTAAACGTCTTTTTTTCCCCTCAAAATGTGCAGTGCGCCCTATGGTGCGGTGCGCCCTATGTGTGTTGTAACTGCGACTTTTGAGACCACCTCATTGAGGAGATGATGAAAGAGTGGCTGAATGTAAGGAGACCAGGTGGGTTTTTTTTCCACTCATCACCATCGCTGTTAATATGTAACTCCATGCGTGCCCATCTCACAGCTGATGTGAAAAACATGGGGAAACAAATTAACCCTGTGCTCGCTGTTCAACCGCTCGACATCGGTGTGAACCGGACCCAGCAGGTGCAGCAGAAGCACCGAGTTTACATGCAAAGTAAATGGTTGACGCGCGTATAGGCGCAGCAAAAGGTCCTGCAGCGCGTTTTGAGCAGCAGGAGCGTTTAAGCATCTGCCAACGCGCTGCTGCTGCTCGAGATGGAAAGATTGAAGTTTTGCTGCTGGACGCGCCGCATCAACCAATCAGAGAAGCTGATCTGGGAGCTGACAGCGAGACAGACACAGCGCTCTGATGACATATGATATTAACGCAAATGGAAAAGGCTGGATGGATGAGGAGATGAAGAAAGCGTAGCTGAGGGAGGTGTAGCCTATGTGAGGAGACCAGGTGGTTTTTTCCACGCATCACCATCGCTGCGTGCCCATCTCACAGCCGATGTGAAAAAAAAGGTGAATCAAATGGATACTGTGCTCGCCGTTATCCCGGGAGGTCTGACAAAGGAGCTTCAACCGCTCGACATCGGTGTGAAGCGGCCGTTCAAAGTAAGGCTGCGAGCGGCGTGGGAGCGATGGATGACAGACGGAGACCACCGTTTCAGGATAAGTGGAAGGCAGCGCCGGGCAAGTTACGCCACAGTTTGCGGATGGATTGTAGATGCTTGGACTAACGTGTCTGCTGGCTCTGTTGTACAAGCTTTTGCAAAAGCCGGCATTATTTCTGAGGAGCTGCGCTGCACGGAAAGTGACTGACAGCGAAGAAGGGGAAATTGGCATGTCTGATTTAGCGCAGCTGTTTTATTCAGAAACAGAGGATGATGACTTTGATGGGTTTGATTAATACTTTGTAATAAATACATGAATAAAGCACAATCATACTCAGTTTTGCTCCCGCTCTATTTTTCTACCTGAAAACTTAATTCAACAGCAGCCTCTGGGCGCGTCTCCTCCTCTTCACCGCGGTGGCTGGCAGGTGTTTTTTCATCTAAATAATCTAAATCTTGCAGCTATATTTGCTGTGATCAGTGGGAATAAAGTAGTTTTAATATGTTTTTAAGTGAGAAAGTCCACCTAAAAACTTAATTGCAGTCAGTTTATCCAGATTATCTATTTCTGTCGGAGCCGCTCAGACCCCCACATACCAGCGGTGCGCCGACAGGAGAAATCCTTTCATCAGCAGCCTCTGGGTTCACCGCGGCTGCTGGCAGGTGTTTTTCATCTAAATAATTTAAACTGCAGGCACCAGGATACCGGTAATAAAAGCGAACATATTCCATCGGCAGGTTTCAGGATTTTAAGTAAATTTAGGAGTGATCACAGCGCTGTGTCATCTGCGATGTGTCTGTCTCACGGCCAGCTGCCAGGTTTGATTAATACTTTTTAATAAATACATGAATAAAGCACAGTCATACTCAGTTTTGCCCCCGCTGTATTTTTAAATACGCAGTAGAGGTATTTAAAGGTAGTAGAGGACATGTACCTGTATATAAAAAACGCGCCCTATAGTCCGGTGCGCCTTATGTGTGTGTTAAATACAGAAATGGGACACATAATTGAGAGTGCGCCTTTTAGTACGGTGCGCCTTATGGTCGTGAAAATACGGTAGTAAAGATACGCATTCCATTAGCAAACTAAATCATTTACCTACACAAATTGAGGGTAAATACACTTAATTTGAGAAATTTTTACGTATTTCAAGTGGAATCTCACCAATAAGCGCCTCAAAGCAGTTGGCCATGGCGTGTCGAAGGTCCGACTCCCGGCACAGGTCGGGTCCGTGGGCGTAGAGCATGAAGCGATCCAACTCCAGCTTCTGGGGAAGGCAGACACATTCATATCAGCTGGCTGCACCCTGACACCTCTGTAATAGCTGCTTGCAAGAGGAAGAAAAAGAATAGAATATTGCACATTTTCATGTAGGACTATTAGGGGGAGAAAAAAAAGAAAACCTCTAGGGAAATGAAAAAGTTGATTGCTCTTGTTGGAAAAGGTTCTACTTCACGGTTCTGACAGATCTGCTCCATGTGCTGTCCAGCTGTGGCGTGAGGAAAAACGTTTACTCACAAACTCGCACAGAGAAAACAGGAAAACGACGGATAACCCCGGGATGAAATGTAAAAGACAACAGCTGTGACCTTCATTTTTCTCTGAGAGGCTCTCGTACCGCTTGGTTACTTTACACAGAAACAGACCTCAGCAGAAAACCTTCTCCTGATGCCGTTCGATCAATGGGTTATATCCTATGATTTTACTGCTGCACATTTAGTCACAGGGATAAAACCGGACATTCTCCTCTAAGTGTTCAGGTGGAATAATAACTAATCGAAAAGGGGGGGGGTTCTGAAAAACTTTTAAATTGATGCGCATAACCCCAGAAGAAGAAAATCTATGTCAGCTGTTTAACAAAAACCTGTCAAACTGTAAAGTCTGACCAGTTCTGTTGGGATCATTTAAAATGGGTGACACAATGCCGAGGCAGTGAAGCATCAGCAGTCTGAATCAATTTTAATGCACCCTGAAGGTTTAACATTCAACAGAGGGAAAGATAATGGTGGGAAATATTTAGGATACACTGGACCTTTAAAAGAGTCCCAGATTCTGCCAAGAAAATGAACTGTTTAAAATAAATAACTAGATGGATTACCATTAGGGCTGCACTGATCACAGTTTTCTAGTTGATCATCCATCTTAAAATTGCTTTATTTGCCGATTTACATTTTAGTTTTCCTTCTGGCATTGTAAGGTCACAGAAGTCCCTTTAATGCTCCAATCCAGCTTTATTGAAAAACAGTGAGCAAAACCCGAGAGCAATACACACTAGCTTCAACAGAAGATTAGGAAGTGTATAAAAATATCAGAAGACTGAAAGGGGCTGATTTTCAATGATCAAAGAAGAAATGATCAGTGGATAAAATCAGCTTCACATGTATCGAGGAAATTGGAGCCAGTTGATCTGTTCGCCTCCTAATTACTAAAACTTCTCTCCTTTTACAGTCAAACGGTCGGCGCACTCTGTATCTAAGATAACATAAATTTCAGCAATATTTCTAAATTCAGACATTTCCTTAACATTAAAAAGCTCCACTTAGCCTTCCTGTTATCTGCTCAAAGTTTTGATCTCGCCATCTCAGCTAAATGAAAAACATACAAATAAATACATGTTCTAGAGAATAGAGCTGCTTTTTAAAGCCCCTTGGCTTTATGTACTCCATCTAATGCTGGGCTAAAAGGTGGAAAAAGCTGTTTATTTTTCTTCTACCAAATCTGATTAATCGTTTTTTCTTACCCAAGTTCAGTAAAAATGACAAATTGCTTACATTACTTTCAAAAATAGCTTTTATTTCAATTCTCCCCTTCGAGAGGTGACCTTAATCTAAAGGGCAAAGAAATCCAAGCTGTGGAAATGTTTGAAAAACAAGCAGCCAGCGGCATAGATGGGAAGTAAGGAAGTACAAATACTTTGTTACTGTACTCAAGTAGATTTTCTGATATTTTTACTTTACTTTACTACTTATTTTTATGGCGACTTTTTACTTCTACTCCTTACATTTTTACACAAATATCTGTACTTTCTACTCCTTATATTTAAAAAAATTGTCTCGTTACTTTAGTTTTGAATCATTTCAATGGAGTTACCGTTATTATTTTTCACGTCATCAATACCAAATTCAATCTAATTGGATGGGAATCTACGTTGCATTTGACGCACCACTACAAGATGAATCGACAGATTCGGCGGTATTCATTCGCGGCAAATTATTGCAGCTTGGTGGCGGTGGCGTTAGCATAGTAGCATGGACGACGAGATGATTGAAAATGAACACAATGGAGATCTAGTCCTATTGGCAGACATCCATTAAAATGTAGGCAACGGCATGAAAAAAGTGGTTTCTACTTTTACTTTTATACTTTGAGTAAATTTACAAGCCTGTACTTTGTTACTTTTACTTGAGTAAAGAAGTTTAATCAGTACTTCCACTTTTACCAGAGTATTTTTTAACACAAGTATCTGTACTTTTACTCAAGTACGGAAAGTGAGTACTTTTGCCATCTCTGGCCAGCGGTGCCACGCAGTTAACTAGGTTATCAGTAGAAATCTATGAAATAAAACTGATGAACTGATGTCAACTTTTATGGAAGCCAAAAAATGCTTTGGTGGAAAAACAATCCAGATTTTCCACAATTTAAATTTTCATAGACAAAAAAAACAAAAAAAAAACAATATTAGTTGGTTGTATTGACTGCTTATCCCTCCATCCAACCCAAACATCCATCCATTCCACCCTGGACAGGTCACTAGTTCGCAGGGCAACACAGAGACAAACGACCATTCACACACACTCTCACCTAAGGAGAATTTAGAGAAGCCAATTGACCTAACAGTCATGTTTTTGGACTGTGGGATGAGCTGGGGTACCCAGGGAGAGCCCAGGCATGCTCAGGGAGAACATGCAAACTCCAAGCAGAAAGACTCGGGCTTGGAATCTAACCCAGAAACTTCTGGCTGCAAGGCAGCGGTGCTACCCACTGGAGGAAACACGTCAGACACATTTGCTGATCCGAAAACTATTTAATTTGGAGTCTCTGGTTGGTCACTGCTGCAGGAAGGATCAAGCTGGAAATCACCAGATTTTGATCAACCACAGATTTTTTATTTTTTTTTTGGCAGCAGTTACTTTTAACCAGTGAGGCTTATTATGAATGCTCTTCTCAATAGGAAGGACAGGGAAGCATTTCTTGATTCAGAAAAGTTTGATTTTAATATAACACAAGACTTAGGGAAGGTCTTTTAGGGTAGAGGAGATCATAGATCTTTGATCATGATACACGGCATCAAGCTTAGAGAAAAACAAAAGCAGCAAATCAGCTGACATTCAATACCAACTGTGGAGCTGGAGATGACTGGGACATGAACTCCTGAGCAGACCTAATTATTCTAGAGTCAAATTTATCCACCAGCTGAATCCTGGAGCCCACTGGGCTACATTAGGACAAAGGTTCAAAACTCACAAGAGAAAATCTTCAACAAAGAGACTAAAGAAGTAAAGAATCAAAAAGTTCAACGGACCAGTCAAAGTCCAAACCTAAACCTGATTTAAATCCTGTTCTGGGACCTTAATAAACCCACAGAGTGCCTGCAAACATTAATGAGCTAAAAAAACAGTTAATAGAGAGGCAAATATTAAACAAAAAGATCATATCTAAATGAACCGTAGGATTTCTGCAATTGTAGCAGAGATACAAACAGAAAATCTATAGAAAACACCTAACACCAACTGTAGAGAACACACTGAATGGTTAAAATCTGTTTCCAGTGTTTCTACAGTAAAACGTGAGAAAACATCTGACCACTGCAGCTTTGATCAAAATGGGTCGACCATCCCAATCGCTGCAAAGAAGGAAAATGAATGGGGGGGGGCGAAGTGGTGGCCTAGTGGTTAGGGCAAAGACCCTTAACCCCACACTGTTCCCTGTGCGCTGCAAGATGGCAGCCTACTGCTCCTCAAGGGGATGGGTTAAATGCAGAGGTAAATATTTCCAATGTGAGATCAATTAAGTTCAATTAGAAAAGAAAGAAGGGAAATAATAGGGATTGAACTAATTTTACCTGATCAAATTATCTGTCAATTGTTTTTTCGATAAATCAATTAATATTTGGAGAGTCAAAAGTTGCTGAATGAAGACTCTTGCTAAATTAGACCAGGTGAAACTAAACATTTTCCACTTGCTGCATAAAGAATATTGAGAGGAGAAAAATATTTTATCAAAAATGCAAAATGTTTATATTGTTTTTTAAGAATTTTAATATAATTGCTGCTCTAGTGGGTTGCTCTGCCAGCTAAAAACATGTTTTACAGTCTCTATATTCCAGTTAACGATTAATCGATTACTAAATTGATTGAAAATTATTTCAATAATCGATTACTGCCATTAATTGTTTAAGCTCTAGAAAATAAAGTAACTTAAATGAAGGAGCATCTTTAGCACAGGTGTCAAAATTCAGTCCTTCCCATTTTAAACAAGCCTCTGCTTTAAAACACCTGATTAGGTCATTAACAGGACTCTGGAGAACCCAGCTGATGTGTTACCAGCTCTTGTGGGTTTGAGTTTGACACCCTGATCTAAAGAAAACAATCCCATCTACAGTTTAAAAATCTGCTTTTATGGTTTCTGATGCAAACTTTTAATCAAGTCGGTAAATTAGAAACAATGTTCTTCCTCCAAACCTAGAAAAACAGACGGGAAACGAGGAGAACAACAGCAGTGAAAAAACACTCTGGACCCGTTAGATGAACTTTCTCCGAGTCATCTTCCAGCCAAAAGAGAAGTAGCCCGACTTGACTTTCCTGGCGTCGCTGCAGAGAGACAAAAAGCAGCCGGGGTGCATTTTAATTACGGCTGATAACCGTTGGTGGTACCCCCCTCCCTTACCCGTAATTGCACACAGAATTTAAACTACAATTCACAAATACTCCAACTCAGAGGGAACCCGCTCTGACTTTTAAGCCATGCGAGTGAAGTGGCGGATTGTGCCGGCGCTCGCTGAAGATACTTTCTGGGAGATAATTGCGAGTGTTCTTGAGCAGACTGCTTCAGAGGAGCCCTGGTAAACAACTTGGCAGCCGCGAACACTGTATCATACTCACTTTAGCGCGAGCGGCAAATTGAAACAAGGCAAACTGCTACACGGCACTAATGCAGATTCGGGCGGCTGCGTCTTTGTATTCAGCGGGGAGCGACATGAAAGATTGAAGTTTTTAATTGGTTTCTCCACATCACGGGACGATCATTGTTGTGTTCCTTTACAAACATTGCCAGTGAGTGCGGCTGGGCTGCCAGCGAGAGAGGAGGGGGAGGAGCGGGGGAGGGCAGAGCGATAACAGGAGCTGAAGAGTGATTCAGGAAGACCTCTGGGGGTCTGCAGGGACCCCGGTCGCACCAGGCTCCAAAACAACAACCTTTTAACTCCAATTACAAACCTGAGCAGAGGAAGAAAAAATCATAATAATCGGGTACGGATGGCAGTAAGACAAAATTACTCTTCTCCCCTGTGCGCCCTCAGAAAGCAGCGAAGTCATAACATCAGGATGGAAGACAATAACAGCGCCTCACACAGGCTCTGCCTTCAGTCAGAGACCTCTGACTGTTTTCACCTGCAGATAAAAGGCTCAGTCAGAGGTAGGGAGGGGGCTTACCTTGGCCAGCATGGCTAAGTGCTGGTTCTGAACGATGGCCGTCCTGTAGGTGGCCAGGCCGCCCTCCTCCAAACTGGGGAACAGGTAATAGAGGTGGACACTGTGGATGAAGAGAAAATTATTTTTTATGCATATTTCTCTTCTTTTCCACTTTTTATCCAAACAAAAAGAGAAAAAACAAAATAAATAAGTAACATTAAACCTTTAAATTCTTGTTTTCAAAACCACACAATGTAAGTAAAACCATTTCAGATGGATTTTTTTTGTGGGTTCTAATGGTAAGTCTATTCACCTACTTTAAGGGCAGTGTGCAAATGTTCAACTCCATCAGCTTTCCCCTGTACCTAATAAAATATGGACCAAACTATAAGATATCTCTAAATGTTTATATTTCTGAATCCCCGCCAGTAGAAGTTGTCGCTCATCCAATGCGTTTTTTTAGGCGCGGCTGTCTACGTACTTATACATTTTTCTAGATACAGAAATTCAGGGCCATGATTAGGAGCAATTATGCTAAACCTGACTTAATGTGGCTGTGCAGACACCCTAGTGCAGGGGTGTCAATTAAAAATCAACGGGCTCCAAATAAAGAAAATCATCAACCAGTAAAAGTCCAGAGACATTTTTAGTTAAAATATGTCACTTTAAACAGCATTTAACACTGAAATAAAATGAGGTGTTTATGCATCTATGTTATAAAAAAAAAAATAGAATTTGCTTCCCATTTTAAAATCTAAAGTGTTTTTTGAAGTAGAGAACGACAATTGTTCAGTTTGGTATATAAACAATTTCCTTATTCACTTTTTTTTTATAAAACACCTGAACTGACTTTTCTTTCTTTCTATTTTCTGTCTTAATGTTGGCAGTGGGCTTTATGCTGCCCTGCAAGGCTTTAAACCTGGTTTGAATGGAGACAAAGCCATTCAGCCATAAAGCACATATCAAGGAGCTCATTTTGAGCCTGGATCCATATTATTTCTGATTCTGTTCATGGTGGAGAATCCTGCTTCACAGCAGCAGGTTGAGCCAAACATCCTCTAAATGTGCAGGGTCACCTTTGAGCACCATTTCACTTTTCTTTAACCAGTTCACCACACTTCTTCCAGCAGACCACACTTTCTCTGCTCTATTTTTCTCGTCTTCTCCTTCTTTCCCATTAGAAATAAAATCAGCTTCTAAATACAGCTTGTCAGGGGAAAAGGAAGCTCCTCAAAATGTAATTCCTGACAGCTGGTCTCCAGACCTCCATCCGTCTTCAACTTTGAGAAGCTCCTCAAAAATCTTGACTTTTTTGGGGAACTTTTTCTTCAAAAGTTTTTCCTTCCACTCAATTTTCTGTTGTTATGCTAGCATTTAAAGCACTCCTCCTATCCCTATTAAGCAACTGTCACCGACAGTAGTTACTCAGCACAGGGGTTCTCAAAGAGGGGAAATGGCAGGATGGCTTTTATAATCAATGGGGCGTAATCCTACGGTATAAAGAGGTCCAAAATATACTATGAAACACATAGATGTGAAAGTCTATTGAAATACATGAATGCTCCATGAAAAAGATGATTTAATATTTTCCTAAGGAAATAATTCCTTTTATAATTATTTAAATATTAAAGAAATCATCCATCCACTTTCCGTCACACTTATCCATGCTGGGGTCAGGAGGGGTGCCTGTGATCTCCAGCTGCCTACAGGCAAGAGGCAGGGTACACCCTGGACAGGTTGGCAACACACAGACAAACAGGACAAAAAAACATTCACACACTCACACCTAAGGAGAATTTAGAGAAGCCAATTAACCTAATAGTCATGTTTTTGGACTGTGGGAGGAAGCCAGAGTACCCCGAGAGTCCAATGCATGCTCAGGGAGAACATGAAAACTTCATGCAGAAAGATCCCGGGCCGGGAATAAAACCCGGAACCTTCTTGCTTCGAGGTAGCAGTGCAACCCACTGCTCCACCCTACAGCTATTAAAGAAACCAATAAAATATAAAATTAACAAATAGTTCAACTCTTCAGCTGAATCATTAAAAACAAATTAAGGAGATTTGTTAACGCAATCGCATCAATGGTTTATTAAAACAGAAGAACCCACTGGGAACTGTAGAAACATCACTCTTGTAACCAGACAAGCGTTTAAGCCTCAGACTAATAGTCACCGCTCAAACTAGAGGTAATGGTTTCAAAACCGATTTGAATCATCAGTGGAAGAGCTTTCTACCGTGTCTTTTATATAGGAGATGTGAAAGGGTAAACAGATCCTGTAATTCATGTCTGGCAAGAGCCAGCGCTGAAATAAAGTGGAAGTGTATTAGAGTCTAAATGTGCACACGACGCACTCAAGAGGTAATTTAAAAGAAAACTTTAATATCCTAAGCAATGGGAGACATGCTGAGTACGAACATAGAATTAGCGATGTCATGATGTACAAAACGTCTATGTGGAGATAAAAGAGCAGACATAAGAGCTGCTCAAAGATTTCATGTTTTCTGTGCGTTAAAAGCTGTTTGAGTTTGACTCGCATTTAATATTAGATGGTCAAGGAAAAAATAAAAACATTATGTTATTATTGATACAAAATGTATTGATGGGAGATTTTGACCATTCTTCCAGAAGCATTTTAGACGTGAAGGCCTGTTTCTCAGTCTCTAGTCTAATTCATCCCATAGGTATTCTATCAGGTTGAAGCCAGTTAAGTTCATCCACAGCAGACTCTTCCATCCATTTTATGGACCTTGCTTTTGTAACTGGTGCAGACATGTTGGAGGAGGAAGGGAACAGATCCAAACTGTTCAGGGAGTATGGAATTGCCCAAACGGTCTTGGTATGACGAAAATGTAGAGATTCTTTCACTAGAGGTAAGGAGCAAAGACCAGCTGCTGAAAAACTACACCACACCATAATACTCTCTCCACCAAACTTTACACTGGGCACAATGCAGTCAGGTAAAGTATCTATCAAAAGCAGACTCCTCCATTACACTTGTAGATGGAGATGCACATTTCATCTAGATGAAGATGGGTGGCAGCGTGCTTTACACCACTGCATCCGAGGCTTTGCATTGCACTTGGTGATGTATGGCTTGGGTGCAGCTGCTCCTCTAGGGGTGTAAACAATAGTTTTGTCTCGATGCATCGATCCAACAGCTGACGATCCGATGCATCGATACGTCCTCAAGAGTATTGATGTTTTTCTTTTCCTCCGGGTACTGGGTGTAATTCTCCCTCCCATGCTGCGGTGGCGCTAAACCTATTTTGTCCTCCTACCTCGCTTCCTGGTTATATTGTTACAGCAGTGTGTTGCAGTGAGCTTGACACAGAAATTTTTTGATGTATGCTCAATACTGAAGCGTGGTCTGTGCTATACGCTGTGGGTCTAGATACGGCCGAGGTGGAGAGGAAGTGGGGGCGAGTTTAGTCGACGACGGAGGGACATGAGGGCCAAAAAGAGCGGAGATCCAGGTGGAAAAAGGGTCCCTGCATTCTCGTGCACCTCACTCTTCTAGCGGGTCAAACTTCAAGAGTTGTTTTCCGCAATTTCAGTCATAAAAACAAAACAAGCTGGCCTCCTGTCTGCGGTCAGCTACAATTTGGGAGAGGTGCAGCGGAGTGTCTGCGGAGGGGGCGGGACGTCTGGAGCCGGGGTATTGCATTGCACTCATTGCACTCATTTGTGCAGTATTTTTTTGATGCAAGGCCTTTCAGAATCTATAACACAGGGGTATTATTATTTTTCAGTGAATGAGGTTTTACTAGGAATAGATGGAGTGCAACTTTTCTACTTCTGTTATTTGCTGTTGTTTCTCAAAAAAATGCATAATGATATTACAGCTTTCATTGATCTATTTCAAATTTGAAACATTGTCTAGCCTGTAAGGTGTAAAAAAAAAAAAAAAAAGAAAAAAAAAGAACCCATTAATCGAATGGAATCGTATCGTGGTATATTCTTGAGTATCGGAAATAATAGAATCGTTGGGTCAGGAAATCGATACTCAATCGAATCTCCATGATGGATTTACACCCCTATGTTCCACCATGGAAATCCATCCCCTGGAGCTCTCTGTGCTCTGTTCTAGGATTAAATTGAAGGCCACATGAATTGTGGAGGTGTGTAGAGAGTGACTCTGCAGAAAGTTGGCAAACTCTTCCCCGATTCTCCTTTATCAGTTTACATGGACTACCACTTCGTGGCCAAGTAGCTTCCCGAACACCTCCATTTTTTCTTCTCACACAGCTGACTGTTGAATATTTAGGTGTTGCAGAGGTGCAATCCTCTCACAGTTCAATGCTGGCATTCACCAAGATCCTGAGAGCGACACAAATGTTTGTAGCCAAAGTCTTCATGACTAGGTGCTTGATTCTTTACACCTGTAGTCTAGAAGGTCATTGGAAAACTAGATAATTTTGGTGGCACAGTGGTTAGTGCAGACGACCCATATATGGAGGTCTTAGTCCTTGATGCGGGCGACCTGGGTTCGAATCCAACGTGTGGTCCTTTGCTGCATGTCTCTCCCCTTCTCTCATACCCCCTTTCCTGTCAGCCTACTGTCCATAAAAACAAGCCACTAGTGCCGAAAAACTTCAAAAAAAACAAAACACTAATTTGAATGGGTGAGGTAAAAAACTTTGGCAATATATTTGTGCATGTTATGTTTTATGTTTAATCTTTCCTTGGTGTCTCTGCTGTAGTGGAAAGAGACGCTTCAACGACTTTGGGCGGATTTCAGAACCACAATAGATGTTTGTAATTAAGTCCAATGTTTCGGTGTATTTTTGTTTTATTTCAAACAGTGTAAAAAGAATTGAAAAAGCAAAAGAATGTTCAACGTTTTCCATCTTAAATGATGAAAAACAAGCCTGTGTTGTTACAGTTCAAACTGTATTACTTGATTTTTGTCAAAATTATTTTAAAAAAGTGGAAAATAACCCTAGTAGAGGGGAAATTAAATCTAAACTTAAATATTGAAAAGAAATCCACCTGAAAATGCACAATAAAGAAGGAAACCTCTATTGTCTGATCCTGCCTTCGCCAACTTCTCCAAGATGGCCTAATTATGTTTCCAACACAGCCTCTTCTCCAGGCCGCGTTGGATCCAAGAGACGGCC